CCCGCTCAGCATCAAACCAAAGACAATGTTGCTGCTCTTTTCGAGCCTTCGAGCAAAAAGCAAAGAAAACAAAAAAATACCAACATGAGTTTGCATAATTTATATTACGCTTGATATTGCTTGTCAGGGTAGTATCAGGGTACAAAGCAAGAGGAAGATCAAGAAAGACCTGGATTCAGGGCGGGAATGATACCCTGAGAACATACAATATCCCACCCAGGGAGGCCATCAAACTTGCTAGAGACAGGAAACTCTTTCTCCCCTCGACGCCCTAGAGGTAAAAGAGGACGGATAAAGTAAAGTAAAGTAAAGTTGCCTGCCCTGTCGTGCAATTTCAGGTACAGAATTCAGAACGGGAAAAATCTACAATACGAAGCTATGCTTCTTATTTTCAAGTGCCCCGAAACTGCGCGTCTTCTAGCTTTCTTGAATGACTGCACGGAATGCGTGTCCTCCAAGAGTTGATCTTTGATAACTGGCTCAGCATTGTGCTCCTCGTGAATAAACACGTTTTAATATGTGTCACGACGCAATGGAATCGAGCGCTCGCCAAATTTTGGGACATTAAGGAGTAATATTTTTAAAACTTGTTAATTTAATTTTGTCGTGCGTTTGATTACAAAAATATCCCTCTTTTTTAAATAGAAATACATATTTGCGATTAAAGGAGTTGTGAATCGTCAGTTTTCAGAGGTGAAAATAGCAAACTATGGCCGTCAAAACTTGGTGATTTCCAAACTTTGAGTGTCCTTGAAAACTGCAAGTTTCTGTTGTTGTGTGTTTGATCAAGGTTTCTAGAGTAAAATACACAAAGTGAATGGACATAACAGATGCTTAGCCAAAAAAATAAAAATCGATAAAGGTTCCCCGACGTGTGGAAAAATGTTGGTTTTTTAAATTTCATTACCTTGACGAGCACATGGTTTCACCACAATGCCTGGCAAGTATGGATTCCTTTTCTCACAACCTTAGCTTTCCGAGTGTCTTAGTTACAACAAAGGAATGCTGTTGCATTTATTCAAAACAGGCGCAGGACGGTAGCTCTACACTCGACCAAATCTATCGATGTGGCAGTTTTATCGTGTCTGAACGACTGGCTTAAATAAAACAAAAAACAAGGCATAATGTGTAAATTATTCATCAGTTAAATCAAAGAATGTCCATTTATCACTTGAATTTATGGAGAACCATGGCACCTGTTTTTGCTGTTTTGTTTTGTTTTGCTGCTGGTTTTGTTTTTTTGGTGTTGTTTTTTTTTT